ATGACACATTCATATGACATGTCTACTTCAGTCTGGCAATACTTGGCATGAATAAGAGATCTGCCAAAAAAAACCTGAAGATTGGAGATACCCAGGCTAGTAGGTACCCTAAAGACTTGCAGGTTTACCCATTTATCCTAGTTTAAAAAAATAAAAATAAAATCTATTTCCTGGTCTACTTTCAGGAAATGAAAAAGAGACAATTGGGAGAAAAAAATGTTGCAAAGCATGTTTCTGCCAGATGCAAAGGGGAAGGGCATTATAATTGTGTTCATGGCATACAATTAAATGTCAAATGTACCCACAACATAATTTAAGGGATTGTGCAAACCTAGCCTGCCTTGGTAAATTGGACTGAGTTAACCATGAGTAAAAATATCGAATAAAAGATCTAGAATTACATGCATGGTAAAATATTGATCTAAGAAGGTTAAAGTGCAGAGGTGAAAACCCATAAAAACATGTGTTGAATCTAATACTAAATTATATTAAGCCCCACAGATTTAAATGAAAGAGTAAAGGAGTTCTCTTCTACTCAAATCATCAGGGTCTCTAATATGCTTAACAGCTATTCGATTTAAGTTTAAAGAAGACTTCTCCAATTTAATGTCGGCCAAAAGTATTGGAGTAATACCCTTGAAGGTCTACTGTGTGATTCTTGTCTTCCTGTAATGAGAATTCCAGTAAAATGGGACAATTTTTGATTGTGTGTCTTTTGCTGCCCTCTGGTGCTTTAGCCAAACAGAGCGAATATGCTGTGTTTAATTGGGAGAAACTTGGGACAAGAGAACATTTTGTAGCTCAGGACTGAAGTGTGGAGTCCTTGGGGTTCTCTGAGCTTGGTTGCTTTCTTGCAGACATTTCATTACCCAAATTAGATAACATCATCAGTACTTATGTGTTGATCAGAACACTGATGATGTTATCTAGTTTGGTAATGAAATGTCTGCAAGAAAACCTCCGTGCTCAGAGAGCACGAAACCCCCAAAGACCTCACAACTGGGGGGAAAACTTGTGTTAATTATTGTTTTTTTTTTTAAATAGAAATTTTATGTTAATATTTGCAAAGGATATTCCCAACATCATGCACAGCAGAATTATAATCCTGACCAAAAATAAAAATTAGGAAAGCTGTTTCTTCAAAGTGAGCCAGCAAACATTGCTCCAGAAGTGGTAATATTGTTTCTTTTCCAGATAACACATCTGCTGTGATTTTCATTGTGGTTCCAATGACACAACTGCTCCTTCTGCCATTTGTTGCCTTGTTTGTTGTTACACAAAACCAGGGCAAGGCCATCCACGAGGGACTTTTCAAGCAGCAAGTGTTCCATGAATGTCTGAGTCAACCTAGCAGTTCAAGGAGTAGCTATTTGCGTGTAGAATGTTTGCTGGCAGCCTCCCCACTCCCCTGACCTTGGGGATTCTTCCCCTCCCTCCAATATTTTCTTCTCCAGGGCCTTTTGATAATTATTTAATAATTTAATACAATGCTGGGATTTTTTTTTTTTTTAGCTTTCCTACTGGCTTTTGTTCTGCTTTATGGTTCTTTCTATCTGGAATATAGATTTGAGTTTAATCATTTTGAATGTTGCTGTAACCTACTTTAGACTTCCAAGAGGAAACAATTATACCCATATTTTGCACTAATATAAATAAATGAAGCTCTTGTGTTAAAAGTTTGGGAAGCCGTGTTCGGCTTGAGTGAAAGAACAGCATCCTAAAGAGTTAAGTTTGGCAGCCACTTTAAAACACTGACTAAACATTCCTGGATTGCAGCTCACTTCATCTGATGCATTAAGCACAGTATTTCACAGGACAAGAAGTGATACACAGGCACCTTCCTTGAACCCAACACTCTTCAGAGGGCTGATAGATTATGCAAATTGAAATTCCAGGCATACAAAGAAATCCAGGTTGAATAAAACACCACAGTACTTGATTGGAGCGTTATTTTTCTTTTCATTACTTGGAGGAAACATTGTGACTATTTGCTTTAAGGCAGGTATTGCCAAAAAGATAACTGACTTTTCTTTTTAGCAGTGTGGAAAAACCTAGTTAAGGCCCTCTTACAGCCTATCCAAGGGCCCTCTATCTTTAAATAGGGGAAATGCGAGCTTTTGCATACCAATGGAAGATAGATACCTTGATAACATTTTAATGGCATCATTTGCATTTTTGCCTGAGGTGCCTAAAGATCTTGGTTTCTCACAAAGATAAGATAATCTTTAGAGGAACTTCTGTCTCTAACTATTCCCCTAGTTTATTTCCTTTATAGCGTTTTATCTTGTATTTCTGTTTGTTTTGCACCGAGAGCTGCTCAGATTATTCCGGAGTCTGGAAATTGGATTACATAATAAACCAAGATTGGCATGTTTAGCTAGAGGAAGAACCCTGCATCTACATAAGAATAAGTCAAGTGCTCTCAAGTGGACAGAGAGCAGGGCTTTCATTTTGCAAAAGTGGAGTTGGGAAACCACACCCAGGCCCCAACAGGTCCAAGATTTGCATGGGCCCGGAGTCTGCTGACCTTTCAGAAAAATCTTAAAAACCTGGTTCTTCCCTAAGTTTGTAAGGATGGAGTGTTTTGGGGAACCCGGGGTTTGTGTTTTTTGCACTTCCTTGGTGGAATAATTGGTGGGATAATTATTTTTAATATACCATGGTGTCTTTTATTGCACTTTTTAATGCTTTTATATGTAGATTTTTGTTTGTATGCCTATTTACACCCCCAGAATTATTAGATTCAGATAGAAAAAAAGAGAAAAGATCGGGTTAACATGTATACATGTATGTACTTGATAGTTGAACACAACCAAAAAGCACATAGATGAACAATTACATCTTTCGTTAGTGTTGCTTCAAATAGCTACATTTAAAAGGGCTGTTCTTCCTAAAACGTTAGTTTCATTTCAAATCTATTCAGTTTCCTACCACGAGGTTTCATAGACTAAAAGGGAACTTTTATACATTAAAAATCTAGGTTCAGAGAAACAAAATAATTAAAAATAGCGTTAGGCATGCCATCTTTGAAACAATGTTTTGATGCCTTTCAATTAAGATAACCTAATTAGGAGTTAACATGTTTACTGGATACAAATTTGTTAGTATTTGAATACCTAGCAGGGTAGTACCACTCCTAATATTAAGAAATTACCACCTCAAATGTTACTGAAAGCTTATTCGTTTGGAGAAGTAAAATATAATCTGATTTTTCTACCAATCTTTGTTCCTTTTTTAAGCATGAAGATGTTCTTACTCAGAACAACAAAGAGGAAGATAAGAGGATTTTATAAATATTAACTTGTGACTATAAACTCTTTTACTACTCAATATATTAAGCAAAATATTTGATGAAAATTCTAAATTGGTTTCCAGTAACTCAAGTCATCCCTCCTGACTATGTAAATCAGCTTAAATTACTATTAACAGTATATGGATAGTATATGTATCTAAAAGCACTTTTTTAAAAAAACTATCTAAAATTCTTATACTAAGTCTTTTAAAACATGGGGTGAAAATTTGGGGTTGTCTTTGTTCCACATTCATATCTGGTCTCCTTTTACAGTGTTTGCTACTTTAAAATGTTAGGAACAAAAACATTTAATACTATAGGGCTGTGTGTGTACATTTGCCCCTATGGTCACATATAATACACATGCATATGATTAGTCCAGCCTGGCATATTTATTGGGAAGCAAATCATGCTGATCTCCAAGATGAAGGAAAAGGCACCTGTTCAGATAGCCTCGAAAAGATTTGGGGTTGAAACGGGGAAAAACACAGAGACATCTAGGTTTATAGAGGGATCACAGCTGAATGGAGGAAAATTAACTTTGCACCAAAATGCGCACAGTGAAATCCTAGAGACTGGGAACCGTTATTATTATTATTATTATTGCTATACCAGAATTTTAAAAGATGGCTTGTTGATGTAGCCATAATGACCTGCTTCGCACATCCTCTCACTATACCAAAAACAAAGAAACCACACCACGGTTTAATGCCTCGTTAAACGCAGCCAACGCTCTCTAACCTAATGAATGGCAGTTTTCCCCCCTGCAAGCGCTGAAGCGGGCTGCGTTTAGGATGCTGTCGGGGGAAAAAGAAGCTACAAGCGCTCTTGAAAACAACCGGCAAGCTCGCTAAATGCAGGTCCCCGCATTTTCCCGACTTCTTGTTTTGCGCTGTTCGATAACCCGGGGGAAAGGGTGTTGTTGCTTGCTTCGGAACGATCCGTTTTTTAAGGCACGTGAAGAACCGAAGCTCTTCGCTTTCGGGCAGCGCTCCACCTCTCCCATTCCCACCTTTAGGATCTCAGCAGTCACTCATTCGGCTTAGATGGGTTTATAGATTCGATCCGCTATTAAGAGGATCGAAGAGCTGGGGGAGCGGGTCGGCGTGCCAAGCCACAAAAGGAAAGGACAATCGGGGAGAAGCCGAGCACATGGCCGAAAGAAACTCGCTGCGCATTTTTATTCGGGATTTAAATTTCACGTCCGTCCGTTCGGCGCCCACGCCCAAAGCAGGACACGTGCGTGCGGTACCGCAACCCCGAAGCCACGCAAGGAGCCAGCCAAGGCTGAAGTTTTAGCGCAAGAACCTCCCGACGCCTTTTCTTCCGCCCGCCCGAGGAGCAAAACAAGGGCGGGCGGGCGCGCGCGCCCGGAGCCGCGCGCTTTACGCTCACTTGGATGTTTGGAACCCACGCGGCTCTCCATTCTAGCCGCTCGCACTTTTCATGAATGGAAGCGAGGCGTCCGCAAGGCGCACGCGCCTCTCTGCCCCGGGCCAATCAGGAGCGGCGGCTCTGAGGCCAGTGTTTTGGTCACGTGGGCGTTTGTAGTTGCGGCGTCCCCCCCGGCCCTAGTCGGGCGGGCTCTTTTTATCGCTCGGCCCGCCCGCCCTGCGGCCCCCCCCCCCTCCCCCCCTTCTCTCCCCCCCCCCCGCCCCCCCCCCCCCCCCCCCGCGCGCTCGGTTGGCCTTGGAGCCGCTGTTGGGCAATGCCGTTCGTGCGCTACCGAAAGGTCGTGATCCTGGGATACCGCTCGGTCGGTGAGTGGCGCTCCGCCCGGCCGGAGTGGGTGGTGGTGGTGGTGGCGGCGTCGTCCGCTGTGTGTGTGTGTGCGTGTGTGTGTTGGGGGAGCACCACGTGGCAAGCAAGAGGTGCCGGGCGGCTGCTCTCCTGCGGGCGAGTTCCCCGAGAGCAGGGCCGGGAGGACGCGGGCGTGGACGGGGAGAGTTATGTGGAAGTTCGGCGGGGAAGAAAGTGAGCGCTGTGGAAAAAAAAGGGGAGCCGGGCTTCGGGCGCACGCCGAAGCGATGGCTGGGAGGAGAGCGGGAGGAAAAAGGGGAGGCGGGGGGAGAGGCGAGGGGAAGGGCGGCGGGGTTTGCGCCGTTCCTTGAGCGCAGCAAGTCTGGAGGGGCGACGCGCGCGGCGTCTGGGGCTGGTGGGGGTCGCGAGGCTGGAGCGGGAGTTTGCAGGCGTGGGTGGGTGGGAGGCGGACGAGCGCCAACAACGCCGGGGAGATTCCCACCTTTGGTTGCCCCGGTTGCTGGGCGGCGGCGCGGCGCAAAGAGCAACGAGTTGCGCGTGTGAAGATGCCACCCTCGCACCTGGGGAGTGGATCCGGATGCGGGGACTTTGGAGCGGTCTTATTGTTGTAGGGTTGAGCTGCGAGAGGGTAGTGGTGGTGGTGGTGGTCGTCATCTGGTTGCAAGAGAGAGTAATAAATGAGTACTGTCGACATCGGAGCATCCATATTTTGGCCGCCACAAAAGGGCGTGCTCTTTTGATTTCAAATCCGGAGATTTTGAAGCCTCGATCGGATAAACCCTGATTACTTGGCTCTTCTAAATTGCCCAGAATTAATACCCGTGGAAAGATCCGGTCAAGTAGGCAATAGAGCTCTTTGATGAAATGATACCCTTTGACTTAGGTATAGGTTTGTGCTCTCTTGCTTTGTGGATTTCCTGTCTCTCAGCTTCCTGGGCTTGAACTTAGTGTATAGATGATTTATATCTCTCTGCTGCCTTCACGCGGTAGTGTGTGGATCAATTGTTAAAAAGGTGGACATTTGCCTGATGAAAAAGTAGGGGGGGGGGACATATAAAAAGGTTCCTGACAAAGCCACCCACTGGCTGCCCTGCTTTGCATTCTTGGAGAAACTAGATAAAGTCTCTGGGGGGAGGGAGTGGAATTAATTGGGAGGAGGAATGTGATAGAACAATGCACATGCTTGCATCCAGTGTTGCTCTTCTTATTAATGAACAGCTTATTTTTAAACAGTCTCTGGAGATAGATTTTCTGCTCTTTGGGCTAAGGTTTAGTATTAGTAGCACATGAGTAGGCAAAACTTGTAAGCAGTGGGCAGCTATTTCCTGACCTTTACTAGTTTGTCCTCAGGGAGCTATTTGTGCCTACCCAATTCCCAACCCATCTGATCTCCTCTTCCCCTGAAGAGAAATGCAAGGAGTCACCCGGCCTATGTTTTCTATTAATCCATGTGCAGTGGGAGGAAATGAGCAAGAGGGCAAAGGTTATTCATGGGTGTCTGGATAGTGAAATCATTTGTTTCCTTGGATTAAATTTGCAACAGCTTCCCCCCCCCCCCTTTTAAGTGATTATGTGAAACACTCATCTGGGTACCTCTGGTAGTATGGAAAGGTGCTTGAAAAGAAAGATTTTTGCTCCTCCTGCCCTGATGGATGCCTAACTTATGGGCCCTGTTGAAAAGTGATGTGTATATTGAGCTGTAATGTATACACTTGGTTGATTAATCAACCATCTGTGCCTTGTTTGAACAGATCAGAATGGGGATTGAGATATATCAGAACTGCTGTTGTGAGTAATTGCAAAAGAAAACACTTCACATTTGGACTAAGAATTTGAATTACAAACTTATTTAATTGTACACTGGCCCTAATCTTTCTGAGTGATGCTGTCATTAGGATTGTTTTGGGTACCTATGTGTATAAGCAGAGATTGATGGAATCTCAGTATACATCAACTATTGTATGCCTATGTCATCTTTCCTACAGGAGCCCTCCCCCCTCCCCCCTCCCCCATCCTGTGAAATAAGGTCAGTCTGGAAGATAATATCTGGATTAAAATAATTCAATAAAGTTCATACCTGAGAAAATATTTAAAATCTCAATTCTTTTTAACTTATAACATTACTATGCTTTTTTCTTAAATTTTAGGCACCTCATTCGTCTTCACTGCAACTGAAAAAATATAACGGCACAGCATCCTAGCTTGTTATAGAGCAGGGTTGTCAAACTTGTGGCCCACAGGCCAGGTGCATCACTTGCTGCCCACGCCCAGTTTAATGAAGCGGGGGAAGCCCCAATAGGTCACATGATGCCATAGTGACAATGCAAGTTTGATACCCCTGCTGTAGAGTGTAAAGCTCTAAAATAATGTACTGCTATCCTAAAAGAAAGCTTATAATATAAATACTAAGTTTGGTATTAATAGTTAGAAACTGAATACTGTGATTTCTTTGTATTTTGTACATGCTCCTCACTCAGATGTACAATCTGAGCCAAGAAGCTTAATATGGTAGAGGAACAGGATGCCAAGAACAGCCTTCTAAATTCAGCTGTTGTGAATCTTCCTAAACAGTTCCTTGGCTAAGTGTGACTAAGCTTTGCAAAATATACTTGTCTTCTCCTGATGGTCTCTTGGTATCTACAGCTGGAAACTGTTGGCTAAATTACAGTGATGGATAGCAAAACTGTGATCAGCTGTTAGGAGTACAGAGAGCTTCTGATTTGATTGGGAAGAGGGGCATTGGAATGAGTGGGAGTAGAAAAGCCTCCACTGTCCTTTCCTGGAAACATTCCCTTAGTGACTGTCCAAACAGATAGGGCTGCTTTCATGAGTCACAGATAAGTTCATGCTCCTATGGCTTCTGCAGACCTCTAAATCAAATCTCAAGCATGGCAGGTCTTGTACTTGTACACTAGAATGGCACTGAGGAAATAATATTGGGATTTGCTTTCTTCCTCATCCTTAACCATAAATATAGCCTGAAGACATGAATTATGTATGTGTGTGTCCTTTGTTGGTAATGTTTTTTTTTAAAATCCTGATTCATGACAGTTCATGAACAGACCTTGGATCTTCACCATTGCAACCTTATCTAAGTAGAACATTAATTGTCTGATCTATTTTGTTTGGTGGATTTGCTAGCTGAGGATAAAGCAAAGTTAAATAGTTTGTTGTTTAATATCAGATCCTAGCTGTGGTCTTATGTGAACTAGGCTATCATGATAAGAGAAACCAGGAGACTGAATTTAGTCCCACTTTAGGTATGAAAGCTGGCTAGGTGACTTGGGCCAACCATATTATCTCAATTCAACTCACCTCCCAGGATTGCTTTGGGGAAAATAGGAGAAGGAAGAAGTATTAGGAATGTTTGTTGCCTTGGGCTACTTATAAAGGAATAAATGCCTGATAAAAAACAATATCATATAGTAAATTCAGCAGTTGTATTTATTAATCTGGGATTTAGATTTAGCATGCTACATAAACCTCATCTACCTGTATTCAACTATGATATGTCCAAAACTAATTTTCCAGAGAGAGAGTAGCACAGACTGCTTGGGTATATTCATATATAATACTGGTATGCAGCACAGTATAGTAGGGTACTTATCTATTACCAAGGAGCGATCAGTATTGGAAATGCAGCAAAGTATATGTAAAAAACTGTTTTGACATATCCTTCATACTTATTTTGATGTTAAATCTTTGAAAATTGAAATTCCAAATATAATTCATGATAGGACAGGATAGCTTAAGTGCTTCCTAAGAGAAATTAAAGGGGAAGATGTTATCAGTAAAAAAAGTACACCATTATAGATGGCATGAAATTCCAAGTCACTGTAATATTGACAGTTTTCCATTGGAAAAAGAAATTCCTTACCTTTGTTGGGTTGATACAATAGAATGATAAGACACAGCTCTATCTTGATTAAGTTTACTGTAATTTTTTTTTTTTTTGCTTGATTGTTGTGAGCCAACAACATTGGCTCAGTCATTGGGATGTGGGTAGCATGTTCTCTCTGCACGCTACAGCTTTTGAATTTCATGACTTTCTGGTCCCATTGTTTACAATCAGAAATATGAAGGAGTGAGGACAGGAATAAACACAATTTTACCTATTAAATGATACAAATTGCCTGCATCTGATAAAATGGGCTCCAAGAGGTTTGAACTGGTGACGGATCTGGAACTACTGGGATTGATTACCATTCTTTAAGCACAATATGATTCCTTCTCCCGAGCTTAAGTTACACTACTGGAATACAACACTTGGGACAATTAATCATAGTTCTGCAGCCAAACCTCTGTTTTTTTCTCATTTCTGATACTCTAAATAAATTTAAAGCTTGTGGTTGTTTATATCTAGTAGAGTTTTTTTTAAAAAGCCTGTTCGTGGCAGACCCTCAAATCTGGTATGGAATGTACACAATTTTTTGTTTAATTCTCCCGTTTGGATATGTTAATCTTAATAATTGCAGTTTTATCCTGTTACCCTGAATGGGGCAGTTTTCATTGCTGTGATCAGAGTGAAATGAATGTTTTCTATTGTTTTAAATTATATTCTTCATCACCAATAAATCTCCACAGCAATAATTTTTTTTGCCATCTTTCCTCTTCAGGTAAGACATCTCTTGCTCACCAGTTCATTGATGGGGAATTTCTGGAATGCTATGACCCCACTGTGGAAAGCAGTAAGTGTGCTATTGCTGTGCTTTTATTAGAAGTATGTCTCTCCTCTTCCTTACTGGGAAGAAAATATGTTAGGGAGAGGTACAGCTGGCTTATGTAACCTCGATTCCATGCCAAGGAAAGCTATATTGGCAAGTGTAAAGAAAAGATATTCATGTTAGCATTGTGTTTGCTTGAAAGGAAGATGACCCTGATCCCCAAAGGGTTAATAAACAAGGAGAAATACACATATCTTCTGCATGTGCTACTTCCCTTCCACGCCAACCTACAATTGCCATCTCTAGCTAAATCCAATCCTCAAGATTCCTTCTCCCAGTAAATGGCTCCAGCACACTTACATATGCATTGGCAGGTGTATATCTGTATCTGCCAGCACCTGTTCTCCATAAATGAAAGCCGGGATTCAAAATAAGTATATGTACAGTGAATTAATAATTAATTTGTTTAATTAATTGTTTATAAAATAAGATGTCCCAATTATAAAGCAGATTATGGGATCTCCTTCCAGCAGAGGCCGTAAATGGAGTAAAACATTCCAATAAGAGAAGGGATATAGTGGTTTGGCAAAGGGAAGGGGAAAATGCATGTGGGTGGTGGAGATGAAAGGAAAACCAGTGGTAGTGGACAAGAGAAAAGAAAAACAAGAGAAGCTCTGTTTATGTCTTACACAAAATTCACAATGGAATCCTTCCCAAGGTTTTATGTTCAAACAAATGTACTACGTATATCCAGCAGAGGTGGGATGCTACCAGTTCGGCTTGGTTCTATAGAACCGATAGCTCTGAAGAGCTGCAAACACTGAACCAGTTTGGTGCGACGACCTTTTGGTCGTCTCTTTGGCCGGCCCACCCACCCATCCGGACTCTTGGCTGTCCTTTATTTCCTGCTTTTTCAACCTCAGCTGCTTTGCGCAGCACAGCTGAGGTTGAAAAAGCAGGAAAGAAGAGGATTTTCAAACACTGCGCACAGCGCTTGTCAGCTGTCCGGGCGTCACAGCTGAGGTTTTTGGGGAAGTGCTCTACACCGCATGTATGCGTAGCAGGTGCACACGCGCAAAACGCATTCTCACCGAACTGGTAGTAACCGGTTGAATCCCACCCCTGATATCCAGGCTTTTCAGCACCAGAGTCTGTAGCCACTTACACCTCTACCCACTCACACCATATCTTCCTTCTATTGCTTGCAGGGAATTTTCCTGCTCTGCCTTGCAATTCACTAGTAATAGTTTACATATTCACAGGATAGAAATTTCTAGAGCTGCAGGTTCTGCAGATGATGAGTTCATGATGTTTTGACCCGGTTAAAGCAAAGAACATGTTTATAACGTTTAAGAATGATGGGGATGCATTTTTTTGTCTTTCCAATCTTTCTTAAGAATACCCAACCATCTCAGAACACCACATAATACTATTATCATATTCCATGACTATTCCTACAATTAGAAAGTTTTATTCATACCATTAAAGTAACTTTCCATAACTGGATGCCTTCCAGATGTGTTAGATCCCAGACTTCCAGGTGGCTGGGACTATGGAAGGGAGACTTGGGGAAAACCGTGATGGGATGTGTGAAGGGAGAGCAGCTTTTGTCTAGTCCTTCAGACATTATTTCATTGAGCAGGAATTACTGTGGGCCTGTATCCATTAACTTGGAAGTGAGCAGAGTGAACTTAGTGTTCTAGGATAGCTGATGTATGCCCAAGTAGAATGTCCTCAAAAGAGAGATTAGACTAGCTAATCTTTCATGCACATGAAGTGGAATCTGTTGGGGACAGTCTGGTGCTGATCACCGAGAAATAGGACATGTCCTGCCCTTTTATTCTTCTGCCAAGCCCCTGCATTCTCCCAATGTTTAAATTCTTAAGAGTCCAGCACGTAGGAAATAAGAACCTTCTCTCTTCCTGCCCAGTCAAAACAATTTTGAGCAGAGTCAAACAGAAAATTACTTAACACAGTTCTGAGTGTGAACTAATTTGATTGCTGAGACTAGGAAGGTATGAGGCTGGTTACAAGTATATAGGACTCCAGCACAACCACATATATATCAGTATAGAACGTATCTGCCATTTCTCAAATTTTACTAAAATCAGAAAAAAAATAAGTTTTTTGAGGGGCAGGGTGTTAAACATCTCAGAGTATTTGTTTTCTTTTGATGAACAAAGATTCAGTAGTACCTCTGCACTCATTTCCTGCTTTGCCACAAACCTTTTCCCCTGCACACCGGTCCTTTCCTGTTTTTGTAGGGGGTTGCCCTTCCCGCCCATTTTATTCAAAGAACAAATTTAGATGGCTGGAAAGCAGGTTTGCTTATAAATCTGTTGTTCTGTTCGCTGAAGTAGTTAATTTAGTTTCTGAAGGCTTAAGGATCACAGGTGGAGAGGGGAAGGTTTAACTAACGAAAGCATTTACTGGAGCACAGCTAATTTAGCAATAAATTGTTAAAAGAGTCGATGCGTGTATACATTTGCCCAATTTCTCATAAATTGAACATTATTTATACAAGGGAAGTAGTAAAAGCATTTCAGTCTCATTAGCTGCCTCTCCACTGAATAGAGTCCCACATTGTAATTTTGATCCTCTCTTCTTATAAACATATGCTTATGTAGGTTTGCCAACCTGTTGCATTACAGTGGCTTCTCCAAATCCCTGAGTATGTCACTCAAGCCCCCTTAATTTTAATTAAATGGGACACCCTCTGGAGGTACTAGACAATTGCCCCATCATTTCACTTTGCAACCAGAATGTGTGGGCCTTCTTTCTTGCCAACAGGTTTTCTTTCTTGCCAACAGGTTACCAAGTGCTTGAAATGTGGTTATGTGACAATTAGTAGGATAAGTATAATATTTTATGATAAAAGTGCTTTACGGGCTATAAAACACGCCTCCTGAGGCCTTCATAACTTCAAACAATTGTTAAACAATCAAGGAACCCCCAAGAACTCTCCCCCAACACCGATAGGGCAAACTGCTAGTATGCAAAAATAAGAACAAACACCACTCCCTTCTAGCACTGATGAAGTTAACTAGTTTGGTAATGAAACATCTGTGAGAGAACCACCAAGCTCGGAGAGCACCAAGGACCCCATAGATTGTTAAACAAGTGGTCATAAGTCAAGAACTACCTGCAGTTCTAGGCCAAGGCTGGCTCTGGCTGAAGGAAAAAGTGAGAGGTAACAAAATAAAAATGACTCGTGCAGAGAAACTCAGGATGTTGCTGGCTTTTAGGAAGGGGTCAGAAAAGCTCAAGTAACATCTGTATCATCTACTTTCTTCCTTCTCTTTTTTTTAAGCTTACAACAAAATGTTGATGGTGGGAAAAGATGAATTCCACTTGCAGCTTGTGGACACTGCAGGACAGGTAATTTCTTTTTTTCTTCTTTCCATCGTTTCATGTGCAAATGGGAGTGTGGCCTTCCCTGCTCATCATCTGTCGTAAGAGATAAACAGCTTGCATCTTAATGCTGCTTGCTTGGGAGTTGTAGTTGGGATGGGAGGGCTGATGTCTCTTTACGATTCATCAATCTGAACTTTGCTAATGCCCCTTGAGTGTCAAGCAATCACCTCAAAGCTTCAATATCCGCTGACATAAAACTCCGCTTTCACAAACTACTTATTCAGAAAAGCATATATGCACTCGGCATTAGAAATGATCCATTCCTGAATTAATCCCCCTAGTTGGTATCTTTCAGCAATCTCACAGAGCAGCAGTACCCAGCTTTTTTTGCACCAAAGGCTGGTTTCATGGAAGACAATGATTCCATGCACTGGGGGCGGAGGGGGGGAGAGTATAGTTTCGGTTTCACTTGCTTACCTGCCATTCACCAATAGCTGCATAGCCCAATTCCCAACAGAGATTGGAGTACCCCGTGAGTGATAGATAGAGTGATAGAGACTTTTCTTCTTCTGTTTTTTTTTTTTGTCCAGGATGAATACACTATCTTGCCTCACTCATTTATCATTGGCATCCATGGCTACGTGCTGGTCTATTCTGTCACATCCCTCAGAAGGTAAGAAAGCACAGATAGAGCCTGATTACGACACAAGGCAGTTGGACAACGAGGGAATGATGAAAACAAGGGCATTGCCTGAATTCTGTAAGGCAGTGGCTCCCAACCTTTTGAGCACCAGGGACCAGTGCCATGGAGAAAGAATTTTATCTCGACCAAAGGAGGCATGGTTTTGCATGCTTACTTGCATATCCTGCAGATGCAGTTTTGCTTGTTGCCGTGGCCCACTTGCTGGCATGATGCGGCCCAGAATCAATCCATGGACCAGGGGTTGGGGACCCCTTCTGTAAAGGTCTTGAAACAATGAAGTCCATCCCTTAATTTGGGTAGTCCTTGACTTATAACCATTACTTTAGTGATTTAGTTCGAAGTTTAGAACAGCACTGAAAAAAGTGACTTAGGAGCGTTTTTCACACTTATGACTGTTGCAGCATCCCCATAGTCAATTGATCAAAATTTGGACTCTTGGCAACAGGCATGTATTTATGATGGTTGCAGTGTCCCACGGTCATACGGTTACCCTTTGCAATCTTCTGAAAAACAAACTCAACGGGGGAAGTTAAATTCATTCAGCAATCGTGTTACTAACTTAACTGCAGTGATTCACTTATCAACTCTGGCAAGAAGCCGTAAAATGGGGCATAACTCATTTAACAATTATCTTGCTTATTAATGGAAATTTTGAGCCCAGTTGTCATAAGTTGAGGACTACCTGTATTTGCAAGTCCACAGAAATGGGTTTGGGAAAGACATTAAAGGCTTGGAACAATAGCCTTATTAGTCTCTTTAAGCCCAGGTTTGTCTAACTGGAATACTGTGTTCATATTCCACCCTGTCTTGTTTTTTAGTCACCTTGAAATGCTCGTTTAGTATTTTTAAAAAATCATCTAATCAAAAGCATTCAAATACGCAAATACTGGGCAATGGCTTTCTATCCATAAGGGGCATTTTAGGGATAATGTTTTCCAATGTTTTCTCGTAATCCTTGGCTCCCACTAAAGATATAAAAAGCTCTTCTGATCTTCTTTCTTGCCTTTCCCAGTTTTCAGGTGGTGAAGTCCCTGCACAGCAAGTTACATGAAAGCAGAGGGAAGACAAGGTAAAGATTAGCATGGCAGGTCAGGAAGGGATGCAACTGTTCAGGCAAGATGTGCAAGCATATTACTAGGGAACTCTTGTCTGAAAGGATGGGGTAGGGAAGGGTTCGGTGGCTTGCCATATCTGTGTAAACATCTGGAGATGTTAACTTGTGTACTCCGGATTCTCTCCCAGAAATAGATTCCAGACTGAACAACATTAGTACAATAAGCCACCTCTAAATGATGACACTTTTTAGGTTTATATAACACAAAGGTTTTGCATAGAATGTAGTGATACCAATAGAGAACTGGATTCCTCTGAGCATGTTCATACGGCATTTCTCTCTCAAGTGTTTCAGAACCTCTGCAAATTGCAGATGCGTGGACTTCCAACTCCCAGAATCCCCCAGCCAGCCTGTTAGCTAGGGAATTCTGGGAGCTAAAGTCTGCATGTCTTAAAATGTGCAGAGGTTGTGAAACTTTTACATCAGGGAGTAAGCGTAGAACAGTGATGGCGAACCTTTTTGTTGTGGTGTGCCAAAAGCACGCATGTGCCGGCACCCACAATGCAATGCTCTCCCCCTTGTGCACGCATGTGTGACCCCCCTTACCTGCACTGCGCATGTGTGCACCTCCCAGCTGATTTTTGGACCATTTGAGGCCTTTTTCGCCCTCCTGAAGACTCAAGGGAAGCCTCTGCAGTCTTTGGAGGCCAAAAAATGGGCCTGTTTCGGCACTTCCAGTATTTCCGGAAGTGCCGAAACAGCCCCATTTTTTGGCCTCCAAAGACTGCAGAGGCTTCCCTCGAACCCTCAGGAGGGTGAAAACGGCCTCCCCTAGGCTCCAGAGGCCCTCCAGAGGATGAAAACGGGCACTTCCGGTATTTTCGGAAGGCCCATTTTTCAGCCTCCCAAAGCTGCAGAGGCTTCCCTTGAGCCCCTGGAACAGGCCGAAAATCAGCTGGGAGGTGCATGCATGTGCAGTGCAGGTAAGTTTGGCTGGGGCTTGCGTGTCCACACAAATGGCTCTGCGTGCCACAGGTTCGCCATCACGGGCCTAGAACATGTAAAATGACAGGTCTATTTTTTAAAAGTAGGTTCATTTTAGATAAAGGCAAGGTACATTGGAAAATGCAAATTGTCCTCAACTTATATTCATTTAGTGACAGTTGGATGTTACAACAAGACTGAAACAAGTGACTTACAATCTGTCCTAGCACAGAATTTGGGCATTTGGCAATCTGCATATATATTTTAAGATGGTTGCAATATACTGGGTTCATGTGATCCCTGTGACTTTCTCAGTCTGTTTCTGATAAACAGGTGGGGGAGGGAGGAGCAGATTTGCTTAATGACCATGTCATTTAACAATTGAAGTGATTAATTTAATAACTGGTTAAAAACATCGCAAAATCTGGTGCAACTCAGTTAGCAACTGCCTTGGTTAGCAACAGAAATTTTGGGTCCAACTGTGGTGGCAAGTCGAGGACTACCTGTGCCTTCAATTGCAACCCCATGCAACCAAAAATTCAGAACTATCCCAGCCATAGGCAGAATTATTGCGTTAAGTTACAAGCAAGTGACCCCCCCTTACATATGACTGTGGAAGTTGTGAGTGAAGGGGGATGACTTTTCTGTTTAGCATTACAAGAAGCAACTTTTAGAAATATTCCTTCTTCGTTTGGCAGGATGCCTGTAGTTCTTGTTGGCAATAAAGCTGATCTGTCCTTAGAAAGGTAAGAACTTTTATCTATTGCTTAATAAATGATAGCTGAGGTATAAGAATAGAGGTATCTTCAATCCCTTTAAAAGATTGGCTGTAATCTGAGTCATTTTTTCTTTCTAAAGGAGTCTGCACTCTAGAATCATAGCAGATAAACTTCCTGGAAGAATTTTAGAAGTTTTGTAGCACGTTTGCAAAAAAATTGCAGTGCACGGGAACATGGGGGTGTAATTTTTGTTACTTATTCCTAAACGGGCTTCCTTCTTCCATTCCCTCACATAAGTTCTAATCTCTCCTGGCATTTTTAAAAGCAAACTTAGGACAAAGGTTGTCACTGCCTTCTCTCAGGATGTGCTTTGATTTCCTTAATAATCCTGAAAATCATTTCTCAAATTTTACATATTTTCTTTCGACTGGGCAGAAACGTTTTTTCTCTGCTTTTATGAATAGCACACTGTATGTACCAGTGGCTACATCCTCATTCCTGCCATTCCAAAGGAGAATTTTATCTTAATTGGCCCCTTTTGTAAATAATAATAATAAACTGGTGGATCATGCTCTAGGGATAGGGCTGTGTGTTTCTGAAATGTTTATATCAAATCTTGTATCTAGAGAAAAAAAATTAGGTACATTGCTTTTTTTAATTTATTTTATTCAGAGAGTTACGGTAAAATACAAACTTTTTTTAAAAAGAAAAAGAAATTTTACCAAAACAACAAAAATAGACAAAATATTAAACAGGAAAATATGCATTAAAAGAGCAAAAGGCAGAAATACACACATATCTTATCCACTCTACTAGAATACTGATAAATATATACTGATAAATATAATCCTCCCATCCCTGGGAAGCAGGCCCCAAATGTATAAACTTCTACATTTATTTACAACCAATTTGACCTGTCATCCATCTACTATGTATAAAAACAAACTGGTTAACAAACTATGTATAAGAACCAACAGCAAAGTTAAACTTCAAAGCCTTCTGTTTAACAATCTTTTATTGTATTTAACTCTCATGGCTTCTTATCCACCATAAGCTAGTATAGTCATTATCTCTGCATTGTTTTTAACTCAATTCTTATGGATACAAGAAAATTAGCATTGAGTAAAAGAATAGGATTTGGGTGTTTACAAAAACCGGCTTATGCTGAGTAGAAAATAGGGTAGGGAAGTCTTACAGTAGCGTTGATCGGTTATGATTTTTATGCTGTGATTCTTTTTAATTAAATTTTAACAAGCAATATCGGATAACTAAAAAGGTAAAGGTAAAGGTTTCCCCTTCCCAGTCAAGTCCGACTCTAGAGGGCGGCGCTCATCTTCGTTTCCTAGTCGAGGGAGCCAGCGTTGTCCAAAGATACTTCAATGGTCACGTGGCTGACATGACTGTACACCAAGGAGCACGGATGTTAACATAACTCCAAGGAACATAGAGAAGAAAACAAGCAAGAAAAAGTACAGAAAATACAAAAGAAATTTACTGCAATAAGAATAAAGGGACAGTTATTGTACATGTGAAAACTTCCTATATACTGTATATATAAAGTACACCAGATTATAAGCTACTGCTATTGTGGTTATAATGTGTCCGTAAAAGTTATAGAGTCCGTAAAAGTTATAGAGTTGTCTTTGGCGAGATGGGTATCATACAAGTTTGATAAATAAATAGAAACACATAGGCACCCCTGAAGTTGACTACAATATGACAGTGTTGGTGAGGTTTTGTTTTCTTTTGTTTAATTACTCCCTTATTTTCTTTTGTTTAATTACTCCCTTATTTTTAGTCGTCAGGTAAAGACAGATGAAGGCCGGAAACTTGCTGATTCATGGGGTGCTGTGTTTTTGGAATCCTCAGCAAAAGAAAACCAGGTATGACTCTGATTTCACCTAAATTAAAGAGGTGGGGATAAGATCTAAAAGCCATAAAATGCTACTTCAAATGTCCGTGTCAATCCATTGTGCTTTCTGCAACAGACTAAGGATTTTTCACAGGTTTAATTTCAAACAGAATGAGTGCATGGGTTGAGTTCCAATTTGAAGAAAAGAGTACCGTGTTTCTCCAACAATACGGCCTCCACCAATAGAAAGGCCCAGCATGATTTCTAGGCATGAGGTGAAATTAAGCCCCGCCCCCAAAATTTAGGCCTATTTAATCCATGTGTTTCCCCGACATTTCTCACATCGTTCGTTAAAACTACAGATGAAGAGAAATGGAGGGGAAGGGGGGGAGAAAACTTGCCTTTAGGAGCGCCCTGCCTGTACCCCAGGCGAGAATACTGCAATCTACTACCAATAGAACATTGGCCGATAGAAGCTCCCTGAAGGCAGAGTCACCAACCGCTTCTATCGTCTAGTAGAAGCGGCCTCGGGGCGAACGCCCATGTGCACTCCCCTCGCCACAAAGCCCTTTCTATTGGCTGATGGAAGCTCCCCAAAGGCAGAGTAACCAGCCGCTTCGGAGCGAGGCGTGGCTGCCCGCGGAGCGCTCCTGACAGGAGCGCCCCACGCACACTCCCCTCACCACAAAGCCATTTCTATCAGCTGATGGAAGCTCCCCAAAGGCAGAGTCACCAGCCGCTTCTATCAGCTGGTAGAAGCGGCCAGGGGCGAACGCCCACGTGCACTCCCCTTGCCACAAAGCCGTTTCTATTGGACGAAGGAAGCTTTCCGAAGGCAGAGGCACCAGCTGCTTCTGTCGGCCGGTAGAAGCGGCCTCAGGGTGAGTGCCCCACGCACACTCCCTTCATCCCGAGACCGCTTCTACCAGCCGATAGAAGCAGCTGCTGACTCTGCCTTTGGGGAGCTTCCATTGGCCGATAGAAATGGCTTCGTGGTGAGGGGAGTGCGTGTGGGCGGGCGCTCGCCTCGAGGCTGCTTCTACCGGCTGATAGATTTCCTCCCCCACGCGCACCCCCACCTAGAGTGGCCCATGTGCACTCAACTCTCCACGAAGCCGCTTCTACTGGCTGATAGAAGCAGCTGGTGACTCTGCCTTCGGGGAGCTTCCATCAGCCGATAGAAGTGGCCTTGTGGAGAGGTGACTGCGCATGGGGCACTCTAGGTTGGGGTGTGTGTGGGGGAGGAAATTAAGTCACCCCCGAAAAGACGTCCTAGCCGTTTTTTGGGGGCTCAAAAAAATATAAGACGCGGCCTTATTTTATGAGAAACACAGTAGCTAAGAGTCTTCTTTGTCCCAATGTCTAAATACAAGCAGATAACCTTGTTCTTTTTAAAAATATTTCTTAGTAATTTCACCAATCAAAAGCAAACACAGGCACAAAACAAATGTCCTCTAATGCAACGGTCACCCACCAGTGGGCCACAGCCCACTGGTGGGCTGTGAGAAAATTTTGGTGGGCTGCAGAGAAATCTCACCCCCAGAACACCTCCACAAAGCAATTAATCCAGGCTGCGCAGAAACACAAGGCTGCGCCGCCCACATGGCCCGCGAGAACCCTCCCCGCCCACTCACTCCTTACTCGGTAAACTTGCATGCTAAATTGCTATTTTTCCTTTTTCCAACCATCATCTGTTCTGTTCCGGGAGATTTAGATTAGCTAGGAAGCAGGAAATAGTTGGATTTCTTGCTTTCTAGCTAGTCTTTAGATCTTCAGCTCAGCACAGCTGAGCCTCCCTTAGGACTGAAGGTTTGCTCGCAAGCAAATTCAGTGCAGACTCACGGCAAGCAAATTTGAGAGACTGAGTTAGCCGATGGCAGATAGATGACTGAATGATTCTGTGAGCAACTCAATCTGCCTGCTTTGCCTGATTTTGGGTAAAAGTTGCTCTTTTTTATAAAAAATTCAATATTTACATGCATGGTGTGTTGTGAATTAATTTTGTGAGTTTTCTTGCAAGCAAATTTTATGTGACAGACTGAGCTAGCCAATGGCAGATAGATAGATCTCTGAATGAATCTGTGATTCTGTGAGCAACTCAATCTGCCTGCCTGCTTTGCCTGATTTTGGGTAAAAGTTGCTCTTTTTATAAAAAAATTCAATATTTATATAAATATTTATATTTACATACAAGCCATGCCCAGCCAGTCACATGACCACCAAGCCACACCCACAAATTAGGCCACGGCCACATAACTGGTTGGTCCCTGGGATCTAAAATTATGAGTTTGGTGGTTCCTGAGGTCCAAAAGGTTGGCGACCCCTGCTCTAATGGATAAAAGAGGGAGATTGTTCTCTGTTGTCTCTTCAAAATAGGAGAGAAACCTAGTCTTCCCACCAAAATAGCAGAGCACCAACACAATACCACTCAGTGTGACAAGAGGTCAGTAATGTTATATGAGTATTGTGGTTAAGGCACCAGGCTAGACACTGGGAGATGGTGAGTTCTACTCCTGCCTGAGCCATGAAAGTCAGTTGGGTGACTTTGGGCCAATCACTCTCTCTCAACCCACCTCACCTCACCGGGTTGTTGTTGTAGTGAAAACAGGAGGAAGGAGTCCCAAAGGTGCTTTTTTCAAGAGGCAACTGGACTTTCTTGTTTGGACTGGACCACTTCATAAATGCATGGCACAACAGAGGAGAACAAACCCATCAGGACAAGATTCAGCAGTCCATCTACATTTAAAAGACAAAGGCCACTCTTTTGAAGACAGCAAAGTCCACATTTTGGACAGAGAGGACTGCTGGTTTGAAAGAGGGGTCAAAGAGGCCATCTATGTCAAAATCGAACAGCCCTCTCAACAGATGGGAAGGGATACAACATCTATCTCCAGTTTACAACGCAGTCCTTTCAACAATTCCAAGAAGCCTCTACACCTTCACACCCATTTGCATGACTCAAATGACCCTGAGGACACATATGGCCTCAAAAGACTCTTTAAAAGAATGAAATGACAAGCTGTCTGCAAGGAGTATAAATCCTTCCATTCTCCATCATCCAGTCAGAACTGAAGAAGCTTCCTCGATAAGAAAGGTCTTCAAAGAAAAACAAAGTCCAATTGCTTCTTGAAAAAAAGCACCTTTGAGACAACCATGACCTGGATGACTGAGAATCTCCATAGACAGGAGGTGGGAGGTATGTTGGGTACGTTCGCCGCCTTGAGTTATTGGTAAAAACAACAAAGACGGGGTACAAATAAATAAAAAGTTCTTTGCTGCTTCTTAAACACGGTTGTAAAACTTTTCTCTTGGAGTGACTCTGGCACCATCTTTCTTCCCTGCAGATGACTCAAGGTATCTTCACAAAGGTCATTGAAGAAATTGATCGTGTGGACAATTCCTATGGTGAACAGCGCAATTGCACCATAATGTGATGCTGCTTTCCCCTACCCGTGATGCTGCTTGGCCAGTGGGCGGGTGGGGGTAAAGCACAGACCCAGGCCAATTCAGGGCAGGTATTGTGGCTACCTAGAGCCCTGATCAGCAGGTCTGAACTAACTTACGGGTAACTCACACACAGATACAATTATACCTCATCACTGGTCCTCCATGGGAGGCGGCCATGTTTTGCACATTAGTTTGCTGGAAGCAATCCATGTATGTATTTCCTGTACATATATGTATGTGTGTGTTTGTGTGTAACGTATTGCCAAATGTTTACAGAAGTGGGAGCCACAATAGGATCTAGTTATGATTTGTTATATAGGGATTTGTGTGTGTGTGTGTGTATATTTATAACAAAAGTTACAATCAGCTCACCTGTTTACAAAAGGAACTGTTCACAACTCAATGTAACAGAGAGGCAGCTGAATGTAACATTTTCCGAGTGGGATCTGCTAAAGGCCAGTAATTTTGTTTTGATAGTTTTGTTTTGGTGATAGCTGAGCCTTGGACCCAGATGCGTAAGTTAGTTTTCAGTTGTAGCTCTTGCAACACGTGGCCTTATTTTTTTTTTTTTTTAATCAGGGTGAAATTTTATGACGCAGCCTGGATCCAAAGTTGGGTTTTTCTTTGCTAGAAATCACAGTGTGGCTGAGGTCTTAGCGGTGCTTAGGCAACTTTTCTTTGGTTATATGCAAATAAATATAAATTTCTTTAAGAACAATATTTTTGTGGAGGAGGAGAGAACCTTTCGTTACACTTCAGTGCATTAAACACTGTCATAATTGCATCGAGCCTCTTTGTATAGCAGCTATCTAGTTTGGCTTAATAGTATGCAGAAGAAGAAAAAAAGGCAAGACAAAATGGATGTGCCCAAGCTTAATGAACATTTCCATGTCTTGCCTATAATTGTCGCCTCTTTTTGGAGGCTTTTTGAAATGCTGCAAAGGAGTTTGTAAGGCGGTAGCTGTAAAAGGGACTGTAAAAGCTGTAGCAGTGTTTGTCAGACTTGGCAAAATGAAGATGTGTGGATTTCAACTCCCAGAATTCCCCACTGGGGAATTTTGCAGTTGAAACCACACATCTAAAAAAAATGGCCACGTTTGGGAAATGCTGAGTTTACAGGATAGAATTATATTTCATTGTTCTTTGGTGGGGAAAAACTGGGAAGGGAGGCAGCTTTCGTGAATATTTTTCTATAAAATCCTGTGAAATCCTGTGATCATGCTGAGGTGCAGAAGCAAAGCTAAGAAGGAACAATTTGAGCTGAAGCTTACAGTTTTCAACTTCCCATTTGCGTAGCTGCCTTTTGCCTTGAATTAGGCATGTTAGCTTAATATTGTGACATACATGCACAAATGTGTGTGTGTTTGTGTAGATAGATGTATATATAAGAATGAAAAAAATGAAGATTTTTAAGTGGTTTCTTCCTGTCCACGACAGCGGACTCCAACCGTGGCAACTTTAAGCCTGGAGGACTTCAACTCCCAGAATTCCCCAGCCAACTGGGGAATTCTGGGAGCTGAAGTCCTCCAGGCTTAAAGTTGCCATGTTTGGAGACCCCTGGTCTAGGAAATGGCCAGTCTCTCTGTTGATCACATGCTTAATCTGAGCCTAAATAGCATCGCTGTGATTTTCCTTTGGTTGACTTGGTTGGGCACACTCAAGCATTGCATTTAATGTTGGGAATGGGATTCCAGACTAGAACTGAGCACTGAACACTGAAGGGAATGAGTGTGCCTAAGCTACATGGACTGCAGGGTGAGCCTTTGGAAACAAGCTCTCCAGTGAAGCCCAATAAACTTTAATCTAGAAAAAGTGGGGAGGATTGCTTTGATGTTCTGGAACATAGCATCTTGTCAAAAGCACATCCTTTATTTTCATAGTTCTTCCTGCCAAAAGCTGTCCCTCTGCGCTGAGGGGAACTTGAACCTTGGGCCCAATCTTCCTTTTTGTGCAGTCCCTACAAAGCTATTTTCTAGATGAAATATTTTTTGTTGTTGTTGTGCCAGTGCATATGTTCGTTTCGGTGATGCTATTTTTCAGAAAAGCTTCTCATTTTTAAAGATGTTCCCAGAGTGCTTTTCGCAAGGCTGCTAGGAATGCTTTTATGTATTCAGAATGAAATTGGATGCATAGATAGGAAAAGGGATGGCTATGAGATTTTTGTTGAAAATTCTGGTTTGGGAGGAATAGTCTCCTTGTACATTATCTTCAGTTGTAAAAATTGCTTTTTTGAAACGAGTGCTTTGAGCCAATATATTTATTGCTCTCAGAATGAATCCACTTGATCCCTGTACTTGGTGGGTGGCCATTTCATAAGGAATTTATTTTGCATTTTATTGGGACTTCCAGGAATTACTGTTTCTGTGTGTTGTTGCTCCATTTCTATAGTGTTGACTATTTCCCCCAGATCTTGTTTTGAACTCTTAAAAACATTCACTCCAGATTTCTTCCCTTCCCATTAGGAATAAATGTGACTATTATTGCTAGCCCTAAAGGGAAGTGTCTACAACTTTGTCCACATCTTTGTCATCTCCTGATTCTTTTTCGACAGACTACAGCCAGGGCTGAAATATCTCACCCATCTTATTCTCTGGATCCTGTAGCGTTTCCCCCATTAAACCAGATCGTGATGTTAGTATCTCAACAAACCCCTGTATTGTATTATACATATTATTGGATAGAAAAGTAGCAGCTTGCAATCTGGCTGTCAGTTTAAATAGGAAGAGAGTTGTGGACTTCCATGCCAAAATATTTCAAATCGCACTGCAATAAACTAAAATAAATTGGCAAATTCTCTTCATGGAACAGATAGAAGGCATTTCTTGGCCAGATTTAGGATTTCTAATTGAAAGTGATCTTTACAAACGAGGCTTCGTTTTCCAGGAGCTGAGTTTTGAATTTAATTGTCCTTGCACCCATGAAGCCTTGCTTTCACATTGTAGGTCAGTTAAGGAGAGGAATGGAAGGTAAGCAATAGGCATGGTGGGAGGAAAAGAAAAGGGTGTTAGCAAATCCACAGTCTGCCATTCAGAACGTTGGCTGGCTTTGCCGGCCAGCAGCTCTCTCAAGGATTTAGACGCTGAGGGCTTCTTTCCAGCAATATCACTGGCTTGGAAAGTCTAGTCCAGGGCCCAGGGGAGATGCTTAACGTAGTGCAGGCTGCCTCTATACACTCACTTAGTTGTAGAGTGCTTCCATCGCCCGTTTGAAGAGGTGTATGGTACAACTCTGTTACACAAGTTCCATGGTTGCTTGCATTCTTGGAGGAAACCCTGAACGGGGTGAACTTCAGCCTCTTTGTCTGCCCCAGAAACCAGTGTTACAAAGCTGTCTTGCTTTTGAATGCAAGTTCCCTTGGGGCTGTTTTAATGATGAAAATGTGCAGTATGTTTCCTATGAAATAACTGTTAATGCTAGCTGTGAATTACAGCATTATCAGCAAACCTGGATACCTTTACACAGTTGGGTAAGTCTGTGTTACATTGGTATCTATACCTCTTTTACTGCCATGAACTGTATACTTGTGATTAACAGGAGTGCATCGTACAAGATTGAATTTGATAAATCCATGTTTAATTTTGACTCTAGTCTGCTTTGTGTCAGTGGAAGGCAGCCTTGTAGATGTTCTTATGACTGGTAAGATAGAAGTTGGCTCTTCAAATGGCTGCTGTACTGGGCCGATCAGTTTTACTGTAGGATGTGATTTCACTTTAGCATCTCTTTCTGTAAAGGTGGATCTATATTTTTGTTTTGCAAATCCGTATGAGGCTTAGGTTGCATTGTAAGAAGCATTATGGAAATAAAGATGATGCCAGAGCTTGTGTCTTGCTTTACACCGTGTCAGCTTTCCATTTTACTTGTCCCGCTTTCAGTGTAAATACTCTATTAAAACAAATCAAGATTTTCCTTTAAATGAGATTTCTGTATTGAAATCAAGAACATGGCATCAGACAATAGAACAAGGATTTGAAGGAAATTTCCATGCTTTGCTTTGTTTCTGTAATTAAACTCTTGTTTTCCCTTATGGCTTCAGCCTCCTAATTAAGGCTGCCTGTACATTCTGATTTATGTATATAAAGGAAGGAGGAAAGACATTCAAAATGGTTTAAGGTTGCAAGGAATAAATTTGCACATTATACATGTGTAACATGTAGATGTAACCATGTTTAACAACACACCATATGGCTTATGGCGGGGGTGTCAAACTGGATTTCTTTGAGGTTCAGATCAGCATTGTAGTTCTCTGCGGGGCGGGAGGCTGAGGCGGTAGGGCAGGCTGGATAACTCCTGTAGCACCCTGCCAGCCAAATGGGCCACGTGGCCCTTTTTTTGACCTGCAGAGTGCTGCAGGAGGCCATGGAGGGCGAAAATGAGGTGTACCCCCCCCGCATGCGGCCCATTTTAGCCACCAGAGGCACCCCAGGCTGGTCCTTTGATATTTCCAGGCTGGCCTCACAGGCCGGATTTAAGCACCCTTGAGTTTGAAACCCCTTGCTTATGGGTTTAACAATCCCCACAATTTAATAAGAGACACACTATGGGTTAGCACAATATGTGGGCCTGGTCATTGATGCTACCTGAATTTGTTGGACATTGCAAAGGAGGTTTCCTTTACCATTGTGAGAACTGGAAGCAGCACCTTGGGCTTGATGATTTCTATGAGTTCCAGCTAAAGGTTTTGTTCTGATATCTCACTGTTAATGTGAGCATGGCCTATATAGAGGTATCCAGACTTGGCAACTTTAAGACCTATGGACTTAAATTCCCAGAATTCCTCAGCCAGCCATGCTGGGAGTTGAAATCCACAAGTCTTAAAAGTTGCCAAGACTGGATGTCCCTGACCTATAAGATCAATGGCTCCCTGCCTATTTTAGCCATAGCACACTAGGCCTGTGTCTGGTGGAAAACACAAACACACTTCTATCTTTTATCAGCTGTGTTGGGAACTTAGCAATGATCTGTCTTGCTGAGCACCCAAAATTGAAGTGGCTTTGGTTTCCAGGCACCTTTGGCACTTGCTATGCTTTTTCCAAGGGTAAAACTAATGTTAATTGTGTCAATTATGTTATTAGCAACACAGGAGCAGTATTGAGCCACTGCCATCCTGGGTTTTGACTTGCTTTAAAGTAGCATTAACAGTCTTAAGGAATTTCCTGGGAACCAGCCTGAACCCCAACTTGATTGCTTCCTCTTCTTTCCCATATCTGACCGAAAGAGCTATGGGAGAGTTGATCACAGCCACCCATTTTTAGGGATGGTGAGCTCCCGCTCTTTCCCTGACATCTACCTTATACATTAGGCTGTGGATGCCGCACTCCGTGCTAAGTCAGGGGATAGCTTGTGCTCTCCCATAAATCAGGACACCAATGCTGACAGCTATTCTTCTGGGTCAAGAGGGGGCAACTGGTAACCCTCCAGATGGCTGAATTATAATTGCCAGCATTCCACTCCACTGGCC